TCAATACTTATTTTACCCGCTGTAGGTGCTACCAAAAAGGCACATGATCCTCTTAAACACTTGCAAAGCTCAGGGAAGTTGGGGGGCAGTTCTCTCAAAAATTGTCCAAGCTTGTCTGTTTTTCCACTCACTTCCCTGAACTTGGTTTTGAGTTCAGAACTGCACTGCAGGTCAATTAGCTCCATCTGAAGCACATGGGGGGCATCTTCCACATCAAARGAGAAGGGGTCAGCAAAAATTAGAAAAGTGGCTCTGTGTGTCTTGAAGTCTGCAAACCTGTGATCAAATTCTTCTTGTAGCTTTACGATGGTATCAGCATACTTCTCACCACTGAATGGTGTTCCCTCTTCCATGAGTGCTTTGCATGCTGGGAAATGGCTGAGGTTTGTCTGGGAGAGCTGGGCTTTTCATAACACAAGTTTTGTGGTGAATGCACTGACATTCTCAACAAGCTGGCCCTGGCCTTGTAACTTTTTGTTCAGTACATTCAGCTCCTGTGTGATGTCAATAAGAAAAGCTAAGTCCATTAGACATTTGGGATCACTTAGTACAGGAACAGTTGTCCCATCCTTCTCCATGAAGGCTTTCACTTCTGCTCTCAACTCAAAAAACCTCTTTAAGACATTCCCCCTGCAAAGCCAACGTACCTCGGTGAAATAGAGCACATCCTGATATGCTGACTGTATTTCCTCCAAAAAGGTGCGAAACTGCCAGTGCTTTAAGCCCCTGGATCTGATATGGTTGATGCATTTCACAACATTAGACATCACATTTTCAAACTTCAGGCATTTGCTGCAAAGGGCCTGTTGATGGATAATGCAGTGCAGAGCAATGGCCTTTTCCRCACCCTCCTCTTCCAGTTTACTTTGAACAAGAGCCACCAGTCCTTTTCTCCTCCCTGTCATTGATGGCGCTCCATCGGTTGTAATTCCAGCAAAACTCTTCCACGGTAAGCCGGCATCCACAATGGAATCACACAGCTGGCGGAATATCTCCTGACCGGTGGTCTGGCCATGCATTGGAATTACTGTGAGCAACTCCTCCGTCACTTCAAAACTGTCATCAACACCACGGACTTATATTGYTAGCTGTGCAGTGTCAGTGACGTCTGTGCTCTCATCAAGAGCGACCGAGTATGAATGGAAAAGTTTAGCTTTCTCACGCAGTTGATCATAAATGTTACCTGACATGTCAGAAATGCGCTCTGCCACTGTGTTAGCTGAAAGGCTGATGTTGCTAAACTGACTCTTCTTTTCTGGACAGACTATACTTGCAGCCTGTAACATGCACTGTTTGATGAACTCACCKTCTTTGAATGGCTTTCCTGACTTAGCAATCATTTCACTCACCACGTAGCTAGCTTCGACTGCTGCATCACTCTCTTTGCTTGCTTTTTTTAAAAAAAATTGTTGCCTCAGTAGACATGTTTAAAGTTTGCAGACCCGGTCCTGTCACTCATCTCCTTGGTATTTTGCATACTCCTCACCATGTTTAGTTGAGTAATGACGTCTGATGTTACACTCCTTGTGAACCGCAACTTTATCTGTGCATATTAGGCATGTCGGGATGCCCCTGAGCTCAACAAAAAATATTCCATCTCCCACTTCTCCTGAAATTGTCTGTTTTCGTCGCCAACCTTTCTCTTCACGACAGGTTTTGAAAGAGACATGACTAGGGCTGGGTGACAAAAAACTTATTTGCACTGGGTGACCTCCACTCACGGACAGTTCCGATACACGTTTCATGTGACCAACGCTGCTAATTCGTGTTGTTGTCGCGAGGCTGATCTACGGCAGCCCAAAAGTGTCAAAATATGTAAAACGTGCAGGGCAACGACTCACGCAGGTGCCTGTGGGCCACAATAACACCAAGCTTAGGCTACGTTCACACTGCAGACAAATCCGACCCAAATCCGATTTTTTTGACCCATCTGACTCATATCAGATTTTTTTATGACAGTCTGAACGAGACAAATTAGAGATTTTCAAATCCGACCCAGGCCGTTTCAGTATGTGGTTTTAAATCGGATATATATCTGATG